AAACTCTTTAAACCCTGAATATTCATCTCGCCATTTTCTAAACAGCCACATTTATAGCTAAACTTAATTTCTCTTAACTAAAAAAACCCCGAGATTAATTTTATGGGTTAGGACGGGTTCTATAAAGCTCTTAAGGGTTTTTTGCAAGCCCTTATTTTCATGGATCACTGATATCGGGGGGGGCTGTCCTTTTTGGGGGTATTTCAGGGAAACCAGAAAGCAGGAGTAAGGGGGAAGAAAGAGCAATTTTGGTTAAAAAAGCGATAGCTAGGGGAAAACACTCGACGGGCAAAGGAATTTTCTGAAGACCATTATGCCCCCTTACTCACAAAGACACAATTGAGGGAAATAAAAGTTAAGGTGGTGAACGGGAATTGGGATGAGGGCAAATGAGGGGAACAAAACGACTTTGTGTGTAATTAGTGCAACGCTTAAGACATTCGCTGCGGAGAGGCACTATGGGTGTCCCCAGTGTGCATGAATCGTTTTTAATCAGTAATGGTAACCCTTGCATGCTAGATCATTTGAAAGCTTGGCAAAAAACTTAAAAAAAAACTCTTTCCCACGCCCTTCGGCGTATTGGGCATATAGGTTAAGGTTAGTTGCGTATCCTTTACAGGGCGTTGCAGAACCAACCCCAACAGGCTCTGGCTGTTGTGTGGTTTTTCTAGGCAAATTAACGTCCAGTAATTTGCCACTCATCGAAGTGTGCAAACGTTTATACAGGGATTGTACAAGTGTAGTTAGAATAAATCAGGGAACATCTCATCCATTCACAGTAACTTTTGGAGTAAGACAGGGGTGTGTCTTATCACCACTGTTGTTTATCGCCTACATCGACAGTATATGCAAGAATGCCAAGCCCATGAATGAAAATGTTAGTAAGATCAACGAATTACTCTTTGCAGATGACCAGGCCTTGATAGCAGATACAGCCATGAAATTGCAACATCTAACATCCATGAATGAAGAATGTAAAACAAATAGGCTAATATGAGAATCAACACTGAAAAGACAGAAGTAATGTCAATAGGAAAAAAGAAGACAGAACTAAACATAGCAATAGAGTACAAAGGCATTAAACAGGCATCTGAGTTTAAATATTTGGGAACTACATTTACTGAAGATGGGAAATTGGATAAAGAAATTAACATTAGATGCAGTAAAGCAAACCAAGTATTGGGACAGTTAGCACCCCTCTTACAGCATAAGACAATCCCAATCAGCAAAAAGAGACATCTTATTCAAAGCATATTTATTCCAACTCTGTGCTACCAGTGCCAGACATGGTCACTCACAACAAACCATAAAAGAAAATTAGTAACTGTGGAAATTAGATGTCTGAGAAGGGCTGTAGGAGTGACCATAAGAGATAAGATCAGGAATGAGATCATAAGACAATTCTAAATTACATTCAAAGACAGCAAGTGAAATGGTTTGCCCACTTAGAGAGAATGCCTTGTGACACCATACCATACAAAGCATACATGGAAAGAAAGAAGGCCGTAGAGCAAGAGGTAGACCAAGAACAAGATGGAAGGATAACATCAGAGAAACTCTACAACAGCACGATGTGCCTATGGTCGAGGCGGCCAGAAGAGCTAGAAACAGAACCTTATATCTCCCCCGACACCCACAGCGGTAAAAGAGAAAGTGAAGAAGAAGAAGAATTTGCCATTGTTTCCTGGACAGTCGGCTTTCTTGATACCACTGTCGAAACCAACGCCGCTGGGATCGAACCCGGCATCCCGGCATTACGAAGCGTTCGCACCGACTATGCCACAGAACCGACAATTGGGCATATAGAGTTAGATCAATATTTCGGTCGGCGGTCGCCTTTACTTCCCAAGACTTTACCTGGTACTCATTTTAGACTGGGTTAACCTGAGAGCCAAGGTCATTGGTGGGGTTGGGGGGGGGGCATCAAACCTGCTGCACGAATTTGCCCCACGACCTTCGGGTCCGCAGGCGAACGTTTATGGCGGCTCCTATTTGGAAGCTCGTGGTAATTTTTTACATTTTACTTCCCTGAAAATATGTATAGTTCTTACCTCAAAACCCGAATCGGGAACAACGTCATCTGTCTTGAAATCTAGAGTGAAAGACCGGAGTCGAGGAAGAGAGAATGGAATCACTAGACCAGTCAACCAGGTCCCACAATATTTGACCCCTTGCAGACTGAGAGCGTCCCAAGTACAGATGTCTTCAAACTCCACGTTGAAATGTCTGCAACAAAACAAATATGTGGTGCAGTAGCTTCTTCGTGTAGTGCATGCTCATGGAAATCATGTCTGATGCAATGTAGTAAGCAACAGATTTGTGATGTGAGTTAGGTTTTTACTGACTGACTTACTTTCTACCCCACCAGGACATCACACAAGCGATAAACACCCGATGTCACAAAGTGCCACCTTGTGGATGAGGATCGCCGTGGAGAGGTCCCAGAAACCGCGTTCAGACAATTGGCCACATTTATGGCCCGCCTATATTGCGGCCCCTGGCAAAAGCCAGGGTGGGGCTTCAAATAACAAAAAAATTTGAGAGAGGGAAGGGAAAGGACGATGACGAGAAGGAGATGAGTAGGAGGAATCTTGTGAGGATAAGGAGAAAAAGAAGAAGAGGGAGGAGGGAGAATTATATTATGTTTAAATACGTGTGTTTAAGTTTAGCTGGAATGTGTGTACCTTGGGAGCATCACATCCCAGCATGTGGTGACGGTACCGGATTCACGAAGCATGCTTTGGAAAAAGGAAACTGGCGTCCTGTGCACTGAGCGGCGTATTTTACTTGATGAGAGTCAGATAAGGAGCATATCGTGTTCAGGATATTCAAGTGTGCGAGGTAACGATCATGCTGATAGATTAGCTGATGTTGCTTCCCTGGACGAAGAGCTACTTTATTATAAAGCGGACGTGGTGAGGACTTTCAGGGATCAAATGGACAGTGCAATAAAACAGTTTCCATTTCATACATTAAAAGACTACTTCAAGGAAGGGTAAATAGAGGTTCTGGAAGGTATTCAACAGAAGGGGACACATAGGTGGGATTTTAATCAGGCTGCAACTGGTACTATTAGCATATCGACTCCTCGTTGGTTACTGAAGATGGGGATGGAGCACGTGTGGGAGTGTCCCCAGAACTGTGATGTCAATTCTCAATGCACTGAATAATTCATTGTATGTGTTTTGTGTGTGCGTGTTTAGTGTATATACATATGAAGTGTGTGTGCAATGTGTCGTATGTATGTGTATATGTTATTCATCCCCATGTGGGGTGCAATTTTTAGTTAGTTGAAGCCCCACCTTAGCTTTTGCCGGGAGCCCTGAATATAAAAATAAAAAAAGTAAAGATCCTTTTTCACGCCTTTCGGCGCATTGGGCACATGGGCAGAGCGTCCCATATTTTTACAGACCATCAGCACTCGGTGGGTAATGTGGTCAGCATTACGCCGGCTGTCTTTACTTTCCCAGGACAGCCCATCCTGGTACCCATTTTAGGCTGGGTCGACCTGCGACGTCCCATACCACGACAAAAATCCACGCCCTGAATATAGCCGGGCCAGAAATATGGTTTAACGGCTGAAAGGGTTTTCTGGGACCTCTCCAAGGCTGATCCTCCTCCGCGTGGTGGAACTTTGTGTCAGAGAGAGTATGTATGTATTATGAATATATGTATAGTGCGTAATTCTGTAGTGTTTACGAATGTATACGTATAAGTGTGTATGTGTGAACCCTTGAATAACACATCTTAATTAGCAATAATGATGCCTACTTGATAGAGGATACACGAAATCCGCCTACATCAAGGCAGATATGAACATTTACATGAAATAAAATTCCTTGAAATGGAATGACATTTTTACCTGAAATTTACTTAAATTTACCTGAAATAAAGGACCAAAAGTAAAACATCGAACTCGGAACGAATAGACAATGTATAGTTGATATTGTTTGGGTAGTTATTTGGAAAGTTAGGACTCCTTATGACGATCGGGAGGCTTGTAGAATTGAGATTCACATTGGTAGGCGTTTGTTCCAGTTCATAGACTGCTGTTGAACAAACCTGCGGAAACTATTTTTTAAAAATCATTAAAAATATTTATTGTTTTAACAGTAAGTAATCTTTCAATCAATTATGCATCTGGGACTTATATGTTAGAGAACCTTTTTTAGGCCTATCGGGGTCAACTCCGTCCATTTAAAAATTAGGTCACTTTTCGTTCATACTTCGTTACGTTCGTCAACTTTGCTGAAGGTTACAGGGGTGTCTCGGTGTACTGTTTTGTTCGAAACGCTTTCTGTGTTTTCTTAACCGGTCGGTGATATCGCGTGTTGTCTATTCCAGGATGTCAGAGGTTTTACCTCTCCCAAAGCATGCAGAACTGGCCCTAACTCAAACACCCCTACGAGAATGCTACAGACTACTTTCGACGCATTCTCTTTCTCAAAATGAAAACATAAATAGACGACAACACAGACAGCTTTTCGAACAAACGGTACAACGGTACACCCCTGTAACCTTGAGCAAAGTTCACGAGCCTGACCACGCACCAATCAAAAGTGACCTAGTGTGTAAATGGGCGGAGCTGACCCCGATGAGCCTGAAAACGTGAGATGTTCCTTGGTTAGTGAAGTCGTTTCACAATTTAATTCTCCACGTTTACCATGGTTCGATTTAAGTGGTGGGTGGCTAAGAAAATTACTGTTCTTGTGGCTTTTAGAAAGTGGTACAATGCAATAGTCGGCGTCTGTGGCTTATGGGTTGCGAACGTGCTTCGTGATGAGGGGTCCTGGGTTCGATCCTAGCTGCGGGCCTTGCGTCTTGCGTTTGTTTCGACAGTGGTATCAAGACGCCGACCATCCAGAAAGCAATGGTAAAATACTGAACGTAAATTTTTTTAGTAAAATCACAAAAAAAACAAAAAATGCTGGGGTTGGTTCTGCTACATCCTGTAAAGGATACGTAACTAACTTTACTATGTAATATCCTTACAATTAGCAGTAAAAACGTTGCAGCCAACCCCCATTGTAGAGACGGAACACGAACAATTTTTATTTTGATTTGTTGCTTATGTTCCATGTTGACATCCTAGCACCCGTCGTGCTCTGTCCTCCGATGCAGCTGCCATATCAGGGTTTCCATGCTCAACGTATCCGGTAGCAGTTAACTGACATGTCTTCTGTCTTTGTTCCGTGACCAATTTCTACATGCTTGTCCTCGCCTGGTTTAACAGCCATTTTCAACAGTTGTGCAAGTTATATATAAAGTCGTCCCCTCGTGGGATACAATTTTTGTTATTTTGAAGCCACATCCTGGCTTTTGCCAGGGGCTTTGTATATAGCCAGGCCATAAATATGGTCTAGCCATAGATATTGCCTAAACGACTGAAAAGGGTTTCTAGGACCTCTCCACGGGTGATCGTCATCCGCATGGTGGCTCTATGTGTCACCGGGTGTTTATCGCTTGTGTGATGTCCTGGTGGGGTACAATTAGAGAGAGAGAGAGAGAGAGAGAGAGAGAGAGAGAGAGAGAGAGAGAGAGAGAGAGAGAGAGAGAGAGAGAGAGAGAGAGAGAGAGAGAGAGAGAGAGAGAGAGAGAAAGAATTCCAACAGTCGATTCATTGTCTCTGACTACACCACATAGTTAATGCGACTAATTTAGAGCAAAGATTTCTCATATATTTACTTGAACACAAAGAAAATAAATATCGTGTATTTCTTATAATAAAAATACATTTTAACTATCTAAATCCCATATCTCTTTAACCAAAAATTTTCTATTCAAAACATTAGGTTGAGTTGAGTTGAGAATTGACATCACAGCACTCGGGACATTTCCATGCGTGTCCCGTCCTCATCTTCAGCAGCCAGCGCAGAGTTCCAATGCTGATGGTACTGGTGCCTTTCCTCTGAGTGTAGTGAGCTGGCCAGACCCTCTGGTTACACCCAGGGGCCTCAATCTCTCCAGGCTATAATAATCTTCCATCTTTACTGATTCCGTTGCATATTCCCAAAGGTCCTTGACCACATCTGCCTTGTCATGTATTAATTGACCACCCAGTGGTGCAGATGCAGCCAATCCGTCCGCCTGTTTATTACCCACTACGCTGTCATACCTGGAGAAAAGATCAAAAGTATGCTCACTAACCGTGACCTTCCCAGTAAAGCTTGCCACTATGCACGAAACATCCCTGTCTTTACCTTTCTCAGCATGTCTTCAATTACGACATGTGTATGCATCTTGTTCTCTAGCCACCGGAGAGCTGCAGTTACCACCTCCATTCTCATACTAGATGTTGTGATGTCGTATGCTAGGCTGTCTTGCATTACAGATTTTCCACTGGCTTTCGCTACGAATAACGGCTCAAAACATTGAATAAAACTGTACTAAATTGCAATGCTATCCACAAAGACTGTGTGCAAAAGTGGATCTCACTGGTTTATAAGAAGATCATTTAGCGAATCAATGGTAACGTTTTGCATTCTGGAGCTTAGAAGGTTTCTGACAACTGTTGCAGATTTGCAGCAAGAAGTAGAATAGGGCCTCACTTTGAAACGTTTCAAAAGATGGCGGCTGATATATAGACTGCTTTTGTAGTGGAAAGGAGGGGAGTCGGGGGGGGGGGGGGGGGGGGGGGGGGGGTCAAAAAAAGAGGAGGGGGTACATTTTCTTGTTCAAAAAGGTCGATTGTGGCTTATAGAGACTTGAAATAATATTTGTTGATCACAGTGAAGTCTGCAGCTTCTATTTCTTTTCCCTGTTCAGTAGTTTGTTCTTGCTACTAAACGGTCGGTCGTGAATAATTCTGTCGAAAAATTGCTGCCAAATCGCCTTCAGCTGCAATAGAACCTGGTATTTCAACATTAAAATCCTAGTTCGCAACCCCTAAGCCGCCGAAACTTAAACTAATATAGAGGTAAACAAACTAAGAAATGATAAGTAAAGTAGGGAAAAAAAGTTAAAATATGTATAAGGAATGAGTCAAGAATTGGTTAAGTAAATCATAAGAAAGGAGAAGGATGCGTAAATTTAACGGTATATAAAAGTGAAGGAAGTCGACGTGGTCTAGCAGCCATATGCTAGCCTGCGGATCTGAATATCGTGGGTTCGGGTCTTTAGAGGGGTTAGACATTTGTCAAAAAATGACTTAGGCTCCCAGGTCGAATCAGCTTTGAGTGCGTACCAGGTAAAGTCCTGGGAAGTGAAGGCGGTCGACGTGATGCTGACCACATCAACCATCAAGTTCCGTTTAGTCTATTCAAAATATAGGTCTAGCCCTATATGCCCAATACGCCTGAAGGCGTGGAAAAGGGACTTTTACTATATCAAAGTGGCGGATTAGTAAAGTAAAGAATAGGTTAAGTTAAGGCTTTGAAAAAAGTGAAAAAGAGGCGCACCGTGGAAGGGCCACATCAGGTAATATTGCTAGAGATACAAGTAGATGCACGCATTAAAAGTCCATGATTTACTTCCCTAAGTTAGGATAAGTTCTATGTAGCTCGTAAGATTTTGCAAGCGTTATATTATCATGTCGGCTGCCTTTCTTTCTTTCCAGAGTATTTTCCGGTAACCATCTTCTTCTTCTTCTTCTTCTTCTTCTTCTTCTTCTTCTTCTTCTTCTTCTTCTTCTTCTTCTTCTTCTTCTTCTTCTTCTTCTCTTCTTCTTCTTCTTCTTCTTCTTCTTCTCTTCTTCTCTTCTTCTTCTTCTTCTTGATTCTTCTTTTCTTCTTCTTCTTCTTCTTTCTTCTTCTTCTTCTTCTTTCTTCTTCTTCTTCTTCTTCTTCTTCTTCTTCTCTTCTTCTTCTTCTTCTTCTTCTTTCTTCTTCTTCTTCTCTTCTTCTTCTTCTTCTTCTTCTTCTTTCTTCTTCTTCCTTCTTCTTCTTCTTCTTCTTCTTCTTCTTCTTCTTCTTCTTCTTCCTCTTCTTCTTCTTCTTCTTCTTCTTCTTCCTCTTCTTCTTCTTCTTGTGATCGCTTTTTGGTTCATATCGTCAGATGAATTCTTGTCATAGAATTGACTAGTTTAGTTGTCTTTTGGTTTTGTAGGACTTTGAGTTGGTGGTGACTCACTGGACCATTGTTCTGTAACCTTCACATGTTGGATCATGCGGATGGATACACATTTTGCAAAAAAAAAAAAAAAAAAGAAAGAAATAAGGAGCCTTTTTCACGCCCAACTTTCTTTGAGGGGAAGTTACAAAACTTTAAGGAAGGATATAAGAATCGATCCAATAAGGGATGCAACTTTTTGGTTATTTTAAAGCCCCACCCGGCTATAGTCGAGAGCCCTAATTTAACCTAACGGTTGAACGGTCTTCTGGGACTTGCACGCGGACGATTCCCGGCTAAATAGTGGCACTTTGTGCCACCCCACCCCCACTCTCCCACCAATAACATTTCCCTCTCCGTAGGATTGAAAAATCATCACCTGGCGAAATTATTAAAATAGAAACAGTTAAGAAATGAGAACAATAAAATAATATTTTAAGCTCTCTCAGCTAATGTTGTCTGATATACACCCCCCCCCCTCCCCGCTTCCCCAATCATATCTCCCTCTCCCAAAGATTGAAAAATCATCACCTGGCAAAGTCATATCTCCCTCTCCGAAGGACTGAAAAATCATCCATGGCGAAATTATTAAAATAGAAATAGTTTAGAAGTGAGAACTTTAAAAACATATTTTAAGCTCTCTCAGCTAACTGTGTCTGGCATAACCCCCTCCCTCTCACCCAATCATATCATCTTCTCCGAAGGATGGGAAAGTCACCGTGTAACAAAATATTGTAACTAAATTTAGCTTGGCATCGGTATCCACCCAGACTTAAATAGGTAACATTAACTTGTACAGAGAAGTAAATGTAGCCAGTGTAACAGCTATGACATCACCCATCCAGTACAAGTGCTACTGCAACCACAACCACAACCACCATCACAACAACAACAAAAACTGTCACTACAGTCTGTGTAGGTCGGTGTAGAAAAGAGGAGTTAGCGCCGCATGCTGCCGCCACGGACTATTTAGTTTGATTTAGCCCCGGACATAGGAACAAAACAAAAAACAAAAAACTTCATCA